GCGACCGCTGGCACAGCAAGTAGAGTCACTACACACTGAGCCAAACGTGTAACCGAAGAAACACAGTTTCGCATTTAGAGATTAGTAACGATTGTTAAATAACTAATAGGACAAATCGTGGACATACTTACTTATAAAGACAATAACCAGGACCGCTTCTTTTTAAATAATACGAATTTCTTATAATAATACAGTGAGATCTGTTAACCGATATTATAATGGCATTTTTGATTTAAGAACTAGTGCACTGGATTGCGCAACGGAGGTCGATGCCATCACAGTCGTACCCGCAGTGAGCTGAAACTTATTGTTCCTTTATTCAAACTTCACTCGATTCATTTCACTGCCGTTTATTTCATAACTTTCCATTTCACGTGATCCCACTTAGCTACTTTTATCCCCATCTTGGTTTTTTTTGATGAAATCAATAATTATTTTATCTTATAAAATGAAATTTAAAGTGAATTCGGTTTAACTTTTATTTTTTTTTTACTTTTTTTATCAAACAAATACAGAATTTAAGTATTATTTTGATTTGGCAAATTCTGTATTTTAAAATTCATTACATTAATATTAAAATATCAGCCATATAATATTCTCTATCAATATAATATTCACGTCTCTACGAAATAGTGTAAAATGAAAAGTAAAATTTACACTCACTATAATAATTATAATTTATAACTAATGTTACTAACTTCATAATATTAATATTAAACAACTACTTAACTTCGTAGTTTATTATAACCAAAAATAGTTTAATTAGCGATATACTGCATTGTTTAATTTAGCTCAATAGACTTTCTATTATTCTTATTCTTCTAAATAATTATACATTCTTACACCAAGGTCGGCATTCAAATTTGAGTGAATGTGTGTTCTCGGTCTATTTGGCAAAATTTCATTTCTTGAATGGCATTGACAAGTGGAGGCGTGTTGCAAACACCCGGGCAAGTTGAACGGAAGCAGTGATATGGTACTTATGTAGCGAAATAACAAAAAGAAGTAAACAAATCTATATTTAATCCATACTTCCATACTAATATTATAAACGTGAAAGTGTGTTTGTTTGTTTGTTTGTCTGTCCTTCTTTCACGTCGAAAGGGAGTGATGGATTGTCGTGAATTTTTATGTGGAAATAGTTGAAAGGATGGAGATTGACATTATAGGCTGCTTTTTACCGCGGGATATTATCTAATCCCCACGGGAAAACACGTTATAATACAAGCCAAAAATATAATTTAATTAGAATTACTTACTTGAAACTTGGTATTAGTACTCTTCAATAAAATTAAATAAATACGTGTTTAGCATTTTTCGAAATTCATCCTATAAGGGGGTTAATTAAATAAGGGATGAAAGTTTGTATGAAACTACCTTTTTAGACATTTTTTGCAGTTTTAGTCCGAGCGAAGCCGCGGATTCTGCTAGTAATATTATAAAAATGAAAGTGTGTTCGTTTGTTTGTTTGTCCTTCTTTTACGTCGAAACGGAGTGACGGATTGCCGTGATTTTTTGTGTGGAGATAGTTAGAGGGCTGGAGAGTGACATAGGCTTTTATCGCGGGAGATTATCTTATTCCCACGGGAAAAAAAGTTATAATAAAACCCAAACAATATTTATGATCAGAATTACTAAAAACTTGGTATTAATGCTCTTCAATACAATTAAATAAATACGTGTTTCAGCACTTTTCGACATTCATCCCAAAAAGGGCTAAAATAGGGGATGAAAGTTTGTATGAAACCTACCTTTTTAGAGTTTGTTTTTATAGTTTTAGCGCGAGCGAAGCTGGTGGTTCTGCTTGTAATATATATTTCATATATACTTTATAGAGATAGTTTTATTTTAAATTATTTACCTTTATTTCAATTATGAAAAAGATTCAAATATTAAAAGAACGTGTCATAAAAATGCATCACCGAATAAAATCTTCAATATTGATTCTTTTAAGTAATAGTCTAAAATCCGATATACATAGGCCCGCTCTTCACGTATATGCTTATAAAATAGTAGATACTGTTGGTTATATTGTTTAAATGTTAAGTTTTATATAAAATATCTAAGTTTAATCCCGTAAGCAAATGCTGACGATTTTACATCGGATCTTCTGCTATAATAATTGCTGAAACATTCGTGTCATCCCAACAAAGCTACTGTGAGATAATAATTGTACATCAATTAAATAAAGAGAAAAAAAAAAATTTTTTACTACATTTTAATCTACAATTGTTTAACACGAATATTTTCTAAAACTTCTATGTATAGAAGGTATTATATACTTTAATGTTACGTATATAAAATTAAATTTGTTTCTTTATTTTGAATGTAATTGTCTGCGTGTTATTTACCATTTATGGAGTAACTAGATAGTGATGTAAATTTCATAAGATTTATTGATCACTGTAACTCCTAATATAGAACAGTTGTCAACGCCCAATAACAAACGTAATTGCCTTAGGAAACGATCTAGTCCGTGCCCTAATTTATTCTCATAATGTCAATAGCATCTAAAAACAGCTTTAAATATATTAACGATAGATAGTAACAAAAATATAATGAATTAGCATTGCCCGCGGTAAAAAGTATCCTATATGTTGACCCGGATAACCTGCTACCACCGTACCAAATTTCATCAAAATCTCTCCAGTGGTTTTTCTATGATGCGGTAACAGACAGATAGACAGACAAAAATTCTAAAAAGTATAGATTCGGCCTCTGTATCGATAATAATGTTTATTTCAATAAGATTTTCCAAAAAATATTTAATGTACAGGTTCGGCTTAGTTACAATTTTATTATATGTATAGATTTGCACGTAAAATATTTAAAACGTATTCGTCACAACATTTTTTTTGTAAAGTTGTTATTACAGTTTGTTTGTAATCGCTTACAATAACTTTTTATGTGTAGTTTATAGCTAATACCGTACTATTAGATGTTGCATAAGTTCAACGTTGCAGGACAGTCGATGCCGGCAGTCGGCCGTCGACGCCGGCACTCATTATTTTATATTGATATCTATATAAAACTAAAGTAAATATACAGTGAATAAAATCAAACAATATGTGGTTCTAAGTGAATACTTAATAATATTTACAACGTACAAATTTATTCTAAATAGTGAAATTAACTTGAAAAGCCTGTTGCCATTAAAGTACGTGCAACGAAGGAAAGTTTGCATTTGCAAATAGTTTATTCGAAACTCGGAATGCTGATGTACAAACTGGTCTTGAGTACTTGTCACAGAATGTCGCCAGTTCGTAGCTTTTTTTAAATAAAAAAATTTTGATCATCTACATACATTTTTAAAAAAAATTATAGGTTATTGAAAAATTATACGTATTTGTTAATCATTGTAGGTGTTAAATAACCCAGATTTTAATAATAATATTTTCGATTTAAGTAAAATTAAAAAATATTACAAGATTGTGTACAATTAAAAGGATGTGTGGCTTTTGCGTAAATGTAGGTAATGCGAGGAAACAAAACGTCCGCGCCGTTATTTTAATTGATTACTATTAGCTACTTCACAATGTCGCTCGCTGTTTGATCATTTTAGTTAATATATCTTATTGAAAATGATCATCGATTCAAAATTACCGATTAAAAATAATTTAATTTTGTTTTATTATACTGTAGCAGGTACCTACATAAAATGATAAGAAACAGTTACGTATCTTTGATCAGCTTGTGAATAAACACCCTTACTTTTAATATTATGTTAATTTAAATATGTTGCATTAATGATGAAATATTATTTTTAAAGTTCATTCTTTTTTCTATATGATAAAGACAGATAAAGATACTAGCGAAGCTTGTAATATTTTTAAATCAAATGTGTAGTAGTCGGTAGTAATAAACCAAATTGTTAGGTAGGTATGACCAAAAACATTATCGCCCTCGTCGATAAGAAAACTATAAGAAAGCAATTATCTAAGTACTAGGTTAAAAAATAAATGAGTTTTATCAATAACTGTAGATGACGTTCTTGTTCAATGAAGCAAATTGGAGCGACTGTAATGTGATATTTCATAAGATGCCAGTGCAGAGAGCGTGAAGTCTGTAATGTGTGAAAACAAAATGTCAAACATCGAAACCTTGTTAACATTTTCAATAGACTTCGTTACAGAGAAATTTTTATTAATTTAATGTTTTGAAATTCGTTCAAGTGTTATCGTATTTGCATTACTTTCCAAAGAGTATTATGTAAAGTAGATTTTAACAGCAAAATAGCAGCGGTGAATATTTGAACACATGGGCGATAATGAAACAATCACCTTATTCGGACATGTAGATACGATGACTTTTTTCCATATTATATCTCCATACTTTAAAAACTAGTTTTTTTGATAACATATATTTTTGATTAAACGAAAAAAAATGCTTAAACTTTCCAAAGTCTTGTAAAAATTAGTAAAATTATTCCACCTACAATAGATTTTACAATTCACCTAACAATAGCAAAATAAAAAGTGAAAACGCATTGATTAAATTCGCGCACTCGGTACCAGCCGCACCTTTTACCGTGAGACCTGATAACACAATTCCTTATCATATTCTGAATTAGCAATGAATAAAACTGATAAAATTAAACTATAAGTTAATATTTGAAGTTTAAAATGTTAACAATATAAGATCTAGAAACCTATAAAATATATATCTAAGTCTTTAGATTTCATGACCTCTGACAATGTTTAAATGATGATACTTATAACGAGATATTTACCAAGTGTTTCGCTTATTTTTTAACAAAATACATATAATTCTTGAAATGTTATTCGACCTCCGTTTCCAAATCTAAAATATATGAAGTTAAAGTGTAAGGATAATTAAAAAATATTATTGTATTTAGTTAGGTTTTTGATGCACGTACAAATAATAACAAGAAATAAAATCAAAGACTGAAAAACTTAAACGGAGAATATTTATATCATATTTTTTAATAGTGTTTTCGACTATAAAAGAGTATCAATGTCTACAACATTACATTCTTATCAATGTTGACATATATGTCGGAGATCGTGATACTGTTGAAAGGTGAAGTAGTCGATGGCACTCGTCTGCTAGAAGCATGGTGGAAAGCACTGCTACTCGTCGCCAGAGCCTTTGTATACTGCTGCCGGTTGATCAACCAAATATTATATGGTGGGCATTATTATAATTAAGATAGTAAATTAACAGATTATTTTTAAGAAGACAATAGTAGAAGCAAAACTGTGGTACTCCCTTTCGGATAAGATTATAATATGTTAATGATAATCAGTGGCTAAAACCACGGTAATGTAATGCAAATATTACCGTGCTAAAACTGTTTAAATCTCGCTTAAAGGAACTTTGTCTGAGTCACTACACATAATTTCCTTATTATATAATATGTTTCTTAACGTTTGTATATATATATATTGTAGTTTATATCTACACCGCAACTCATTACTATTATTTTTTCTCACGCTCGAGGGTTTCTGTTTGATATCCTTAAAGAGGTAGTTATCCTTTTTATACAATTATCTGTTTTCTGTTTTATATGTATTTTTCGTGGTAGGTATATCAATAAATAAATAAATAAATAGAAAAATAGTAAGACTTTTATAAAAACTAATTATATTTTTAAAACTTCTTATTTTCTGATTTGTATAAGGTTAAAAAAATGCACAATGCATATATTATTTAACTGTCTCCACTTTCTACTATCCGTAAATTACGCATAAGATATTTAGTGTATTCTGAATTCAAGCAGAAATTTTATATCTATGTGTATTTCATACCTCAAAGAATATAAGAAACTACAGGAGCGTTTTAGTATATTTCGTAGTACTTCTCCTCAACTTGACCTTTATCGATCGATCTAACGCTATATGTCTTATAATACTTATCTAATTTTATAAACCTCCAAGTCATGGTAATAACTATTTTAAACTCTTTATTGACATGTGTTTAGAGGTAATCTATACATATAATAAAATTGTAACTAAGTCGAATCTGTACACTAAATATTTTTTGGGAAATCTAATTGAAATAGACATTATTATCGATACAGAGTCCGAATCTATAGTTTTTAGAACTTTTGTCTGTCTGTCTGTCTGTTACCGCATCACAAAAAAACCACTGGAGGGATTTTGATGAAATTTGGTATGGTTATAGCTGGTTATCAGAGTCAACATATAGGATACTTTTTACCGCGGGAAAATGTCTTATTTCTGACAGAAAATACAAAAACTGCAATGTAAGATCAACTAATATGTAAAACCTAAGAATTTGGGTTTTGGTCATCTGAACGCGGGCGGAGCCGCGGGCAATTCTAGTCATATATAACAATCGTTGCTGCATTCTAACCCGATATTACTAGTTAATTTTGGAAACATTAGGTTCCTTTATAATTATGATAAAATAAAAACGATATAAATATTAAAGATAACTTATCGGACAAAGACTTTTAATAATTGTTCATTCACTCAGTTCAGCATTGATAACAGATTGTGCTAGCAATCGTATCTAGGACATTCGTGAGAAGTCTAAATTATACCTTATTCTTGCATGTATTTTTTAAATGATGAATTAGGTACTTACTTGAACTTAAAACAAAATAGTTGAGTTTTTTATCAAATTTTGAAAGTGCCTAAATGATATTCATTGTTTTTTTTTAATTTCCAGAGACAAAAGTGACTGAGGCGGTCATGATGGCGCCTAGTCTGTTTCAGAAGACTAAATCACCACGCTCCTCACCTGGAAATCTGCCTAGAAAATTACAGGTACAGACAAATTAAATTAACTTATAAAATATACATAGTAAGGAATACCAAAGCAGCTATGTATATTTTTCTTTAAAAATTGCAATATTTGACAGGATGCCTTTTTTTATTGGTATACTCCACTTGATGTAAGCTAAATTTACATGGGTTCCATAAACTTCCTGTGTACGTAAAAAAACCTCAATGCGGCGATTCAGAATAAGTTAAATATGTGTTCAGTGAATCAGCAGAGCTTGTAAAAAAAGATTCTTATATTATTTATTCTATATATTGGCATAGAATATGCATGCGTAATATACATATAGAAAGAATAATATATAATAGATAAGAATATATACTAATTTTTTTTCAACCCTAAACTAACTAATATATAAAAATAATTGTCAAATTATATATTAATCATGGAATACCTACATAATATATTTTAAATTTTGCAAAATAATCTAATTTATAAACATTTAAAATGCCATCCAATGTCATACATTTATTTATATTAAAATCATATTTGCTCTATTTCAGAATGGCACAGAATCAGGGAGCCAGTCGGTGACGACGGCGGACTCGAGCCCAGGAAACTCAATCTCAGACGCCGAAAACTTCGAGTGCTTCGGCGAGGCGGATGGAGATGCTCCTGTTCCTAACACGTCAGTTATTTTTTAATTTGCACGTAAATCATTAACTAAATAAGATATTACAAAAAATCTCTGCTAATTTAAAAAACACCTTGTAGGGATGCATGATTCGGATCTACCTTGATATGATATAATTTATAAACAAAAAAATTAATAGCAAAACATAAATGGGTAATATAACATTCATCATAAATGTATTAGAAAGCATTTGTATAAATTCAAGTACGACTAATAAAATAAATACGCGAGCTAAGAGATCAAATCGGTCAACGCTCTCGTAAACACTTACTGTTTTATGCATTAAGAGACGGTACGTACAAAATCATATTAAATTTATATTAGACTAGCGACTCACCCTCGCTTCGCTCGGGTTCGTCCCTAGGTACGTTTTAATTTTTTTGAGCGGAACCCTAATTATTTTTCTAAAATAAAAGTAGCCTATGTTACTCCCTATAACATCAGCTATCTTCCAGTGAAAGTCCCGTCATAATCAGTCCAGCCGTTACAGAGATTATCCGGAAAAAACAGACAGACAGACGAAAATTTAAAAAATTGTGTTTTTCCTATAAGTACCTACCGTATATAATTTCATATGTATTTAGTAAAACGCTGTTATTTTGACATTACAAACAGACGCTTCAATTTTATTTATATAACGGCAAATTATACCTAATTTATTTGTTAGTTTCCAGTTGTAGGGTACCAACTTCTAATAGTTGGTTGGCTTAAGTTAGCATGTCTGTAGTTCAACGTTCCTGTAACTGACTAGGTAATCATACTATAGACTATAAACTTTTAAGCTGATAAGCTCGTTATAGGAATTTCGTGTGAACGTTTTAAAACACGTGCTGCTAAGTGCTAAGTATTAATTATTAAGTAGGTACACGTTTAAAAACGTGGGGAAGAATTAGATCTGTTTACTGAAATGACGCAAATTAACAAAAACATATACTTTTACAATCTAAAGGTGTCTAATGAGTAATGACAATATCTAATACCTTTAAACGAGCAATTCTTGTATATTTATTTATACCGGCGATCTCGGAAACGGCTCTAACGATTGCGCTGAAATTTGGTATGTGGGGGTTTTCGGGGGCGAATAATCGATCTAGATTAGTCTTATTGTCTGGGAAAACGCGTGTTTTCGAGTTTTCATGTGGGTTTTCTTACGCATTATTCTACGCAAAATATGGACGCTAATTTCGAATGCTTTTTTTTAAAAGAAAATTGTACTTTTGACCAAAAAGTCCGAACAAAGCTCGGTCGTCCAGGTACTATAATATAATAACTACTAAAAAGATCTTATTACAAAAACAATATGTTATTATATTATTCTAATTTAAAATAATTAAAATATTCTATTATTAAAATAATAATTTTCCCGATAGATTGGAAAACGGATCCCGAAGTCCCGGTAATAACTTAAATCGTCACTCCTGGACGCGGACCAGCCTTCGTCGGACACCACCCAGGTAATGCTGCTTCCATTACTATTCTTTTATTTGTAAGTAGTTATAGGCTAATATATCAGTAAGGCAAGGTTTGGACTTTTGAGATACCTTATAAAATCAATCAAAACTGTTTTGGATTTAAAACAGGTTATTTAGGTCCAAAAATAAAAATTCTATGGATGGATTGTGATAAATCTAAAACGTACGTTTAAGTACAATAACGTTTAAAAAAAGTGACATTTAAATCACAAATAAGACTTATTAGGACTCTGTTTTCGATTATATTTAATGGAACAAAGTAAAAGAAATCGTGTGCCTGACAGTCGAAATATTTAAGACATATGAAATAACTTAAAGATACTTTACTTTAAAATCAAAGAAAGTTCAAAATAATTATTAGTAGATTTAATAAATCTAGGTAAAAACTAAAAAGTATGTGGGTTTGCTCATTTATTTGATTATATTATTAGCATTCTTTGATTGTTGTACCCAGTAATTCTAAAATATCATTATCTTTTTTTTTCTCTTTCTCCCTTCACTTATACAACTTTTTACCAGAACTGCTACAGCTATTATATTCACTATGTAATTTTATGATTATTTCTGCACAATTTTGTTTGTGTTAGCGCTAGCTTACCACTTTTGTGTATCTTTCGTAGCCATCAAGAAAACCTGCCGCATCGGCGATGGGGCTCCATGCGACAGTAAGCTATTTTAATTTATGTTGCATGCTTTTTATTATTATTTTATTATACTTTCCTCTTACTTTTTTAATAGCATCTCTTCCATTTATTTGTTGAATGTTAAGTCATTTCATCCATGTCAATATCCCATATGTTTATAATTATAAAATACATAGCAAAAATTCCACTACTACAAAGTTTCGTTTGATGTTTACTCTAAGTCTCAACTCACTGTATAGTCCGACTATGCATGTATACATTATTTAAAGAAAAAAAATTATAACTTTACTAACAGTTTATAAATAAAGAATAAAGTTATTTATTGTAGTTAAAGTAGTAATAAAAATCGGGCACATCAAGAGTTCCGAGTCGGTAAATACTAAGGGGTTTCTTTATTTTATTTGTTACTTTAAAACTACGTTAAAATATTTACGTATGCACAACATTTACTTTATTGACCGCAAAATAAGCTTATTTTATAGACATTCTTAAACATACTAAGTATAAAAACATAGTTAATTTTGCGATCTCTGATTTGGTGAATCGTGTAACTATAAATATCCCGTATCTCAGCCAAAACCAAACCATGACTACCATAACGTATCGTCTGCAAAATCTTTTTTTTCTTAATTTTTCAGAATTATCCACCCCGTACTTTAATAAAACCCTTAAAATACAATTAATTTTTCAGTTTAAATTTATTATACAAAGTGGAAACGAAAAAAAAACGCAACAGAAATATCCTAAGATAACGCTTTGCTAGTTTCACAACAACAATATACTAACTTTCATATTAAATATGATTTATTAGTGCTATATATCACCAAGCTATTAGAGTAGAATGTATTCTAAGTATAAAGCTAACGTGACAGGCGTGACCACAGGAAATTATACTAAAAGCCTTCCTGATATCTGATGGATACCTTCGTAACCATATTATGTCACTACCGATTATATAGGTACATTAAACGAGGAAGAAAGTATAAGACAAAAGTAAAAATATGGTCTATTTAATTAAAACTATGTGAAAGTAGAATAATATAATGTAAAAATCCGTCCCGCACTAGGCATTTTCTACTTAGATTGTTTCTATGTAACAAAGAAATGTTACATCTGCTTTGTTCCAACTATAACACTTACAGAATTAGCAAACAGCCGTGGTTTGAAAATACGACCGGCATAATAGGAATTCTAAAATTATTAACATTTTTATTACTTACCCCGATGGGTGCTATGTCATAAAATAGCACACGATCGGCGGTAGTTTACAAAGTATGTACGAAGTCTGTATGTCATGAAGGATATTTTTTTAAATATATTTTTTAATAATTAATGTATATATAGGTATATATATACATTAATTATTAAAAAACTGATTTTGATGAAATTTGGTATGGTCATAGCTGGTTATCTGGGTCAACCAACATAAAGGATACTTTTTACCGCGGAAAAATGTCTCATTTCTGAGAAAAAATACAAAAACTGCAATTTAAGAGTCTACTATATGTAAAACCTAAGAATTTGGTTTTTGGTCATTTGAACGCGGGCTAATCTAGTACATTATAATTCTCTTCTTTCTCAATTTGTTAAAGCAAATTGTAATTTGTATCTTAGGTGTCGCTTTAAAGGAAACTTAAAGTGCAAAAAGTCCATAAAAGCTTGAAACAATCTATGTTCCATCCGCAAATAACACAGTTTTTGCTAATCTATTTTCAAGCTATTGTTACGCAGTGACGGCGCGTAGTTTTAGATAATGAGAGGAGCACAACAACTGGTCCGTTATAGACATCCGTGATTACGTTCGGAAATATAATTTACATACAAATCATGCTTTTTGTTATTCACATAAATATCTACACAAATTAGGTAGTAGATACATTTAAAAATTTTATATCCAAACTAATATTATAAATGTGAAAGTGTGTTTGTTTGTTTGTCCTTCTTTCACATCGAAACGGAGTAACGGATTGGCATGATTTTTTGTATGGAGATAGTTGGAGGGCTGGAGAGTGACATAGGCTTTTTATCGTGGCAAATTTCTTAATTCCCACGGCAAAACACGATAAAATACAATCTAAAAAATATTTATTCTCAGAATTACTTGATAATGAAATATAAATATGTGTCTTAGTATTTTTCAAATTTCAGGTAAAATAAGGGATGAAAGTTTGTATGAAACTACCTTGTTAGAGATTTTTTTGCAGTTTTAGCGCGAGCGAAGCCGCGGGATCTGCTAGTTTCATATAAATAAGAGGCTTTCTCCTTTCTCAAATTTATTTAAAATTAAAAATGGTAAACATGACACTCGAAAGATACTTTTTTTAAATATTTTCATTAACTAAATTTCTGAATTGCTCATTACTCCTTTTTATGCATAGGTATTGGGCGTTCGGAAGAATATAAGCTTTGCCATAATTAAACTTTACATGGAGAATGCTGAATGACTGCAGGAACCGATTGTTGGTTTTCGAGTGCGACTCCGTAGTCGCGTAGTTTATTTATTTACTCCTCTATCAAAGCCTGCGACATAATCTTATTTAGCAAAACAACTTTTTCATTATTATTCTAATATATAAAGGCTTAAGTTCGTTTGTTTGTCTGCAAGTGCTACGCTTATATAGAAAAACACATCCAATATGATTTTTTTTTGCATTTGTTTTAGTTTACTTGTTGATAAAAGTTTCAGGCCACCTATGTAACTTTGGCAAGAAAACCTCAATAACAAATAAACTAAAAGCATTATTGTTGATTTTACGGCGCGATTACTATTTTTCTTTAATTTCCAGACATTTTGCAATTATCTTACAAAAATGCACTGTCCTTGTACTCAGTGTCTTATGTTTGCCCAACACACAACTATTTACGTTCCAACAATCGAAATAATGTTAATGTTGCGTCACCCACGGTCAGTAATTGTGGTTAGAGAGACGTTAAAAACGGTAATTTCGACTGGCCCACAATACCGCTAAATTCTTTCCGTTTTTACTAATTGCCTTCCTATCTCATGAAGTGTTATGTAATTTTCAAATATCTACGTGGTTTAAAAGCTAAAAGATGAAAAAATATGTATAATGATTATGTATAAAAATCTTGATATACATACATACATATGTATAGGTAAATAACTAATTAGCTACCTTAGCCAAATTAACTTTCTACAACGTTTTTAATAAACAAAATGGCCTCTATTTAAAGTTTTAATAATTTTTAGGTAAAGTTATTTTTCTGTCAAGTTATAATAATTGCATAAATTATGTTAGAATAATAATTATTATTATCAAAAACTTCTAAGTACCTAAATACCATGGGAAAACTACGCTTTGAAACAATAGGTACACGAATTTTTTTCGACGTACAACTTGTAAAACCTTGTAACATAGGTAATATACAAGCAACACCAATTTTATTTTTGGTTCAAGTTTAATTACAGTATTTAGATTTCGAAGGCGCGTTAACGGTTAATGTAAGCCAAGCATTTCCTGTTCTCATTCACACCTAGTGTATTACGCTATGCGTTCAAGTACACAATTAGCACTGCTAATACCTTTAAATATATTTATGACTAGTTTGAGCTATCGACTTTACGTGTGTGTACCTTTTTTATTTAATTTACAACCTAAGGTATAAAATATATAACTCGCTTTATGGTGGTCGAGTATAGAACACGTATCTCTAGCACTATGCAGTTAGATTTGCTTAATCGATTAAAGTCTTACTTTGTTTTTAATTTACGCATTATGTATCATCTATATATTTAATAAAAGTGTAACTGATCGCGGTATGTACATGAAAGGTATTTGAGAAAAACTACTATTGGGTGTATTTATAAACGCAATAGGACCCATCACCCAATACAATGATATTTAGAATTTTTATCTCTTCGTCTGTGCGTTTGTGCACGCTAATCTCAGAAACGGCTTAACCGATTTGGGTGCGGTTTTCACTAATGTACAGTTCATGAATAAAAAAGTTATGTCAATTTGAAGAATCACCTAGGGACGAACCAGAGCGATTTAAATTCTGTCCGAAACTGATCTTCTCGAAAGTTATAACACTATTGGCTCTAATCTTATTTAACTCAATCATTTTTTTTAATATTCATTGTAAAACTTTGGCCCTATTTCAGTAATCCATATTTTCATAATAATATAATTTTCGTAACGTAATCGTATAATATTATAAATATGAAAGTGTAGTGTGTGAAATATTCAATTATATTTTAATATATGACACCATTAATACCTATTATGAAATGAAATTTTACTCAATTAGACTTATACATAATGCACGCATCTTTGAATCATCAATTAAAATAAAAAAGCGGCAGTGCAGTTAATTTCTGAAGGAGCTACTACAGGCCCGGAAAGCAGTTCAACTGAGAAGGTTGAGAACGGTGAGAAAGGGCCGGTCAGTTCTCGACGGGTATAAAAGATAAACGCGCCAAAGTTACTTAGGATCAGTAGTAATATAAATAAATCTAGCATAAATATTATGTATGTCATATCAGTATGATGTTATGACTGTATAAAAACTTAAAAAACTCTTCGAAAAAATCTGATTAGGTATCTATTCTAAATGAAAACCCCCTTTTAGTTATTTTTTACATTTTATGTAGTGCCTGGAAGTCGGTTTTTTTTTAGTTTTTATTTTTCCATTTAAAAATGTACACTAAAGTGTAGACGTAATGAGCAGGTAATTTGTAAGAAGAAAGTTTTTTTAATATTCGATAATATCCGATTCGATTCGATATATTCGATTTAGCAATTTATTTAAAATAATAATATTTATTGTTGATTTTTTTATAAACCGCTCGACCGATTTCGATAAAATTTAAATGGGAAACCAAAACCTGGGAAGTATACCCTTCGAAACAAAAAAAAAAGAAAAAAAAATACCGACGAATTGAACTCCCTTTTTTGGAAGTGGGTTAAAAATAGCAGATACTATATACAGACAAGACTAGCTCGCGACGGGCATTTGGACGTTATGCCGAAGTGACTTTAATCACTTGCGATTTTATT